GCATCGTGCCACGGCCTCATGGACCTCGCCGTGAGCAACGAGACAATCAAGCGCTTGGGCATTGTTCGATATTGTTCTCGGGAAGGTGCCCGCTGCTCTTCATCTCCGGCAGCATCGAGCCACTGATTCACGGACAAGGACCTTACTAAGATCTCTCTCCTTCGTAGCACTTCTGGTGTTTCGCTGATCTCACACGGTTGAGCAGGAGGCCAGTTCGACATGCACTCGACCTGCCCGGTGCTGAAAGCTGATGCCGGTTCGGCAGTGTTCGTACATGCAGATCATGCATAACGAAAGGCACCGAACTGTTGAGACAGGACACTGCATGGAACCAGTGCCGCGGAACAGCTAGCACATCCTGCATCGAAAGGTCTTGCAGCTGCCCGTGAGCCCGAAACCTAAGCCCAGGACGCCGGGCTTTAGAATAACGCCCACGCCGGTGCACCTCTGCTGAATACAAGGCTTGGGGCCAATCGAGAATCTGTGTTGGGTCGAAGCACCCCGGCGGCAGCTGAATCAAGGGGTCCACATCAGTAAATGTGGAGGAGTCCTGGCATCTCCAAAACGCTATGCCTCTTACAAGCCACAAACCTGCAAAGTTGCAGACCTCATATGGGAGACGGTGCGGGCCGAGCCACGTGCTGCTAGGCGGAAACAGAAGCCTGAGCGAAGCTTGCTAGCAACTGGGCACCTGGCAAAGTCGCAAGATGCCATCCCACAACGATCTGCCACTGAGCCGCCCCGCGCCAGAGCTTTTCTCCGGCTATTTGTGCGACCAGATTCTGTCCATATGCATCTTGGTGGCACCTGTTCATCGTGACTGGGTCTCCCAAATGGGAAAATCCACAAGAGTCTTGCACATCGCCTGCTTGAGCGAGTTGCAGCTGCCAAGGCTACCCGACAAGTTTGCCCAGTACGGAAGCACGTGTCATCACACCCTTAGGGTGTGGAGAGGCACTAACTCTGCCGAGGGCCAGATCCCTGGTGCTAACTTGGCTCTGTCCGGCACTGCATTATCATTGGCTCAGATGGGTTTCCCATCTTGCAAGCCCTGCATGATGCTTCGACGGTATAACGTAGTGGTGCAGCAGCATCATCATGGTCTAGTGTTACAGTGGTTCAAATCATTGCATCTTCACCTGCTATCAAGGCCAGCCGCGGATCACTGACGCGGGAAAGTTTTCCTCACAGGCGATGCCTCGGTCGTGAGAGCTGCAGAGTAGCCATGCAATCTCGTTTTGCCACCAAGGCTCAGGTGATCTCGGGCTTGACCCGGGACTAAATCCAGATCGACCAGCTGACGTCGGGCTCATGCCCTCAAAGCACAACAGTTCAAGGGCTAAAAATAATTTGTCAATCAGAATCTCTGGAATCCAATGTAAGCTGCGACAAGTGTCTCCAGATGGCGAGTGGGCTGAGCGCGGAGAATGTGGTTCGTAAGGGTTCTCCTGCTTCCGAAGCCAGGGCAGCACAGAAATAGGTTGCCGAATAACCAACGTTTCGCAAGCGCATATAACTAGATCTCTGTTTATATCGATATCTCTACCTATTCTCTACCTATCTATATAGAGAAAAGTATATATATATATATATATATGTATAGTCATTTCACTTGACTTTCTACTGGGATTAAGGGTCACGTCGTGACCCTCAGGCCATCGGCCCGCCCAACCACACAATGCTTTATTGAGTGGTCGGCCTATGGGTCCCCAATGAATGTTGCAAGAGAGAACTGGGTATGCACCGTGCTGGTCTGCTGCAAGCCCCTGCCCGAACGCTAGAACCCCCATGCTGGCCTTATTAAACATATGTATGTATATATATATATATATCTTTGCTTTGCTTTGCTTGGAGCTAGAGCTGCAGGCAGTCCCTGCAGCCCGCGCTGTCGCGCGACCCCATCCAGGATGTTCACCGGATGGTCTCGGCTGTACGACAACTCGGCGGTTTCGCCGTCGCGTCGGCTTGAGTGCCACCGTATACATATACATATACATATACATATACATATACATATACATATACATATACATATACATATACATATACATATACATATACGTATACGTATACATATACATATACATATACATATACATATACGTATATATATATATATATAAGGTACCCCCCCAAAGCCCACACCTTTGCTTGCTCAGGTACTGCATCCAGTACTTGCTGCCTGGGTTCAGGGTTCGGGTTGAGGGTTCATGTCACGTGTGTATGTCTGCATGTCCTCTACACACAGATTGCCATGGTATGTGCTTTGTTTCACCACTCATGCTTACAATATACAAGTCTACCGGAATATTAACATACTACTATACCAACATACTGATATCCTTATAAATTATTAGGTTGTATATGAATATAGTCGTATACACATATACGAATATTCTAATATACTAAAAGACGAATATGCTGACATACTAATATACCAACATACTAATAAACTCGTGCACCAATGTACTAATATACTTATATATTAGTATATAAATATACAAAATACTCAGAGTAACAGTGATACCTTTAACTAATATTCATATCAATATTAACGCTTCTACTACAACTAATACGAAACTCAGGAGCAATACTTATACAAGCTGCTCATAGTAACAGTGATATTAGAACAAATACTCATTCCAATATTACTGCTACTACTACTAATACTGATACGAAACTCAAAGCAGTATGTTTACAAATATTCTGCATACGAATCATCATATTAATACTAATATTAATGCTAATACTGTTGTCAATACTGATGCCAATATTTTATACTAATACCAATGATACTATAAGTAGTAATAATCCTACGAAAACCAATACGCATACTCTCATGGCTGTTAATGACATACTATTACCAATACTACTACTGACATTGATAGTTTTTTGTATATTCAAGTTAATACTCGTATTAATACGAGTATCACTGACATCAAGGCTGATACAAATATGACAATACGATTACTATTACTAACATTAATACTCCTACGACTACGAATAATCATATTCATATTTGTATTAAAATGTGGGGTAATGCCAATGTTAAAACATACCTACATTAAGGCCTATACAAATATGACAATACGAATACTAGTACTAACATTAATACTCCTACATTATCATATTCATATTGATACCAAAATGTATAGTAATACCAACACTAATACATACTTGCATATTTTAATCCAAATAGATATACATATCGCCATATTAAGTACCAGAGGTTTTCCTGCTAAGTTTGAACCACCTCACTAGGATTATTGGACAGGAGGCAATGACCTGTGGCTGAAGTGCGGAGAACTCTTTGCAAAGTCCCAAGCTTTTCAAAATATCGAAAATGGCGCCCTGAAATCGCGCAGAATTCCCAAATTTCTGAAATTTGCAAAAATTCCAAAATTTCCGAAAAGTTCCCCCTTATGTTTTCCGAAATCCTGCCCATTAGGTCTGCAAGTTTTTGGAAATTTTGGAAATTTCGGAAATTTTGGGAATTTCGGAACCTTCGGAAATTTGGAAAATTTTGGAAGTTCTGGTAAAACCTGGGGAATCTCTGTCCCGCTGCGATTTCGCGTGTCATGTATGTGTGCGGCATTGAAGCATAGCACATAATCAGTGGATTATGATTATTTTCATAAATTCTGCGGGCTTTGGGGGGGTAGAATATATATATATATATATATATATATAGCTGTCTCCCTCTCTGCAAGGTCCCCAATATATATCTCTCTCTTTCTACTGTACCAGGCCAAAGGAGGCGGGACGTCCCGCCACCCCGTCGCACACGCACACGCACCTGCAGTTCACAGGTTTTAAGGATTTCCACCAAAGGGTTGCCCCCCATGGCTCGCTACACAGGGGCCTGCAATGGAGGCTCAGGACAGAAGACAACAGGATGCGCGCTTTTATGACAACACACAGACTCTCTGCCCTGCTCACACCCACAAGTCCGCATCACCGCCAACGATGTGCCCATCATGTCAGTAGAATCCCCGAAAGTGCAAATATTTAAACCCCGCCTAGTTCCTCCACAGCACAAAGCAACAAGAAGTGGTGCAGAATCACAATACGCCCGCACAGATCGCTCCCCCCGGGAACACAGGGTGACTTAGGGGTGCGATCTTGTTTGCGGACATGTGCCATGGACTTGTTTGCAGCTACAAAGGCGACCAGCATGACAAGACCACAAGATTACCACCATCAGAAACTTGCTACCTAGAAACGACCTGTAAGACTCATCGTCCCCCTCTGCTCCGGTGCAAATGGGTGTTCAAGCCTGTCATATACTACCGCTCCTCGTCCCCCGGCAGAAGAATTTCCCAAAGCAGTCAAAGCTCGGTAAACTACACTGTTTAAGACTGAGTAAGGTTGAATTTCTTCTGCAGGTTGCTTGGAGCTTGCGAGTGAAGCACTGTGGTTCTTCCCCGGCCAGTTGGCCCGGCGGGAAGAAACTTTGGGTCCCCGTCCGTCCTAGCTGGGGCTTTGCTGAAACAGCTAAAAGCCAAACCTTCGTTGGCTGCAGCCCTACTTACGGCTTCACTGGTCTGGCTTTCAACGCTATCCGACTCCTCGTTGTGGTCGCTGGGAATGTAGGAAAGCGCATTGGCTCTCCCCTCTCAGTGGTGAAGTCAGGCGAGTCGCTCTCCCCCTCCAAACGTGCCACGGCAGCGTGGTGGCAAGCGAGTTGGTTCCCCCATTTTCGGGGGTACATGTGTTGGCGGAGGTACAGGCTCCGCCGCTATTGGCTGCGCGGTTCCCCCTCCGGCATCGAGCTGTGTTTGGGCGGCCTCGTTCATGGCCTCTACCATGCTGTCCCTGAGGTGGCGCTCTGCTTGGGAGGCGATCGTGCCGTAGAGGCTGAGCCATGCCCTCGCCACGGTGTTCTTTTCCTTGGTCGCACTGCCGGGGTTTTCATGGGCCATGTTAGTCGCACTGTCAGGGTCTTCATGGGCCTTCGCCTTGTCCCCCACCGGCAACTCGAGGTCGTTCGACTGGTCGTCTCCCCCGTCTGCATGTCGTGTTGCAGGGACTTGGTCTGGCTGCACGTGTGAGCCGCTGCTTCCCCCCGAGGAGACTTTGTTGTACAGCTTCTGCGGCATGGAGAAGCTGCATGCCTAAAGAGACTTGCTCGTCCACCAGCGTAGGCATCACTTTGCGGAACTGGGCCGCAGCTTCGGAGAGCAGAGCAGCCGCGTTCGCCTTCTTGGTATCCTTGGCATCCCCCTTTGGTGGAGGTTCGCAGCTCCCCCGCGCTGTACTTTGTTGTGGGTCACTTCCTTCATGCTCTTCGACAAACGCGTCTCCCCGTTGTTCGAGCAGGAAGGCCGCAGGAGAAATAAGTTCCCGCAGATCTTGCCACAGCTGGTTACAGTCCCAGCTGGTTTCCCCCCGAAGCACGGATCTCTTGCCACAGTGAGCAGCGTGATCCCCCGCTGCAAGGTTCTAGCTGCCTGCTGCAGCTGCTGCATCGTCACCGTGGGCGGTATGGGTTCATGCAACTGGATTGCTCCCTCCTCCAGCAGCCGGCATAGGTGGTCTTGGGCACGCTCTTCATAGTTGAGCCACGAGTCCTTACCGCGCCCCCGTCTGCACTGGTGGTGTGCCACAGCGGCCACGGCATCAACTAACAGATTGGTTTTAATGCCCGTTTGCAGCTGTCCGCTACTGCACCTGTTGGGTGCATCAGGGCTAGGAATTGTGCTGTCACATCGCACATTGTGGTGATTGTTGCTGCGTTGCCCCCGGCAGTTCCGCTGCAGCATCGTGCGTGCACTGCAGTTGCAGCTGGTCCGCGTCCCCTCCGTCCTGCTGGTGCCCGGGCGGGTGTTGCGGGCTGCCTCGTTGCATCAGCTCTGTGTGGTCGTGTTGCTCGTGTGGGGGCGTGGGGGGCAGTGGTTGTGGTGTTGGGCTCGGTCTTCCCCCGATGGCCCTGCCATCCCTCACTTGGTCGTACCAAGGAGTTGGTACTGGTGTTGGTTTGGTGGTAGTTACTGTGTGACCTTCCCTGCTGCCGCTGCGAAGGGTCCGTCCGTCCCAGAGTGGGTTGTGGTGTTGTGGTGTGTTTGCATCGCTGCTCTGGCGTGCTGCCGGTTGGGTTGCGTGCTGGTCTGGCCCTCTCTTCTTCCACAGGGCATAGGGGTCTGTCAAGGTCCCCCGGCCTTTTGGCCCCCAACGTGTTATACACACACACACACATATATATATATATATATATATGTGTATCTCTCTCTCTCTGTGAGTTTTCCCGGAGCAACGGCCTCATCATCGGGCGGATATCCAAAGTAGTCGGTGCCATAACACTCAATGAAGCACACTTCACACAGACCTTGGAGAGTGCAAAACAGTTAAGATTGTGGGTACCGGAATGAGCTCCGCAGCAGCACAAGGTGTTTGCCGGCGGGACACATCCATGATGATGCCCTTTAGTGGCGGTGAGCTTCTGCAGCAGTTCAGCCTGGCATGGCTTAGAAGCAGCATTGCTGTGATGAATTGTGATCTCGCCTTAACCGTCATTTCCCCTCCACCCTTATCCAGGTCGATTGTGATGATGCCGTCTTTCTTTCCTGACACATTGAAGAGAAGCTGCAACAGCCACATAAATTGCCACCTTTGGCTTCCAGCCTGGACCCATGACCTTTCCAGCCGTGACCTGGAAATCCTCGGGATCAGCACTCTCTGCAACTGCGGGCAAGCGGGGCTCGAGCCCACCATCGAGAAGACTGGTTTGCCGTAGATTGCCGACGAGAAACATCTTTGAGAAGCGATGCCTTCGACAGATCCTGAGCTGGCGTTGAACGCAAAGTGTTCTTTGCGGAGCGCACCATAGGATATGGTAATCCCGTCTACCAATATGTCTGCCGCTTGTTTTCCAAACAGTTTTGTACAAGAAGTGAGAAACTGAAAGGACGATTACAAATTCGCTCGACGTCTTATCCTGGCTTCCCATGACAGAAAAAAGAGGAGGCGCCATTGAGCTTCCAATGCTCCTAGTAGCTCTGACGACAGATCTGGACCCACAAGCTCTGACCTGCAAGTTGAGCTGTAGCTGTTCTCGCCTCCTGCATCTGCTGTCTCATCGCAACATGAAACTATGATGGTCCCACCTTTGGTCGCCTTCCGGGCTCTACGGCCACAGCCCCTTCGTTACAAGGCAGCGGACAGCATGCAGACACGGCGATTTTACATCTGCGAGTAAGGAAGGAAGTGCGAGAAGAGAGACCTTACTGAAACCTACCTATATACAAACCTTCGTCCGTTTTGTACTCCCACCACATCTGCACTGTCAAGCTGCTGAAAAGAGCCGGCACTTGAGCCGAACACGATCTCCAATTGCAAAACCACAAAGGCGTGGATCTTCTTTGGTTACCTCGCGCCTTGGCAAAGACAACGCTCTTCCCGGCGACTCAAGAGTATTGTCAGGGTCACTGTTCGATCCAGTGCGACTCCTCTCGGAGCAGCTGGTAGAACTCCTGGCATCTCTGGAAGGTGAGACGGAGACGCAGGGGGGAGAGGAAGAGAGAGACGCACAGAGAGAGAGAGAGAGAGATGAAAAAGCAAGAAATGCAGTAAGAGCACACATGCCACAGCTCTCTGTTCTAAACGCAGAACGGCTCCGCAAAATCGATGCTTCCAGAATTGTCGGCATCGAAGCAGCGCAGCACGCCATCAAGCTCCGAAGGCGAGAGCGGACAGCCGAGGCGCCTGCAGACAACATCATGTGACACAACATTCCCTAGCCGCTCTGGCCCTAGCCTCCCGCCTCAGAGCGGCCGCCATCTCGCCTCTGGTCAGGATCCCATCGCCGTTCTGCACGGGGCCAACGCAACACAGCCTTCATGGACGACTCGGATCCTGGTCGATCTCGTGGAAGAGCTCGAGTTCGGACATGCTTTGGTCCTCGAGGCACACTTGGCACTTGCGCACATCCGGCTCTCCAAGGGCTCCTCGATGTGTTGGATGAGGCCTCTGCTGCCACGGGCTGTACTGACTGTCGGCATCTCAAACCCACAAATTTAGCACCCTCTGTGCAAGCAAGGCACTCACCAAGGCCTGCTTCAGTGGGGACTTCGCCTTCAATTCCTCAAGCTTCCTGCCGCCCCCCCCCATGAAAGCCCGGTGTATGTGCCTGCAGCAAGGTGTCTGTTCACGACTGGTCATCCCTTCGACAAGCGGCTGTTGCCGCGCGAGTTGCAGCTTCTCCGCCTGGACGGGGGGAGGCCGCAGTCCGTCACGCGGAGTCCCTGCTTCACTGAAGGAGCGTTCTCGTCCCGAAGAAACACATCCGGTAACTTCGGAGGAACCGGTGTGGCCTTCACATGGAGCATAGCTGGCCAGATCACACCGATGGGACGGAGATTCCCAATTAGCAACGGCATCCCAAGTCTACTTTGAAAACTCACCTTCGAGTTCAAGCAGCACCTTTCTCATTTTCGACTCCAAGGTCTGCACAGGTCTTGAGACTCCCGCTCCATTGCTCATGTTTGCATCTGGCTAAGTTGAAACTGAGCAAGACCCAAAAAAATCGGAACAACCACCAGCATTCTGTCTCCAGCCACAGGTCTGCCTGCACCTCCGCCGGAGTTTTCTGATCTCTTCTTCGCTGGGCCTTCTCCCTTGCTTGCAGGTTGAGACTTAACTCGAGTGCAGATTTAATGAAAAACGCATCATCATGTAAGGCGCCAGAAACTGTGGCCGAGATGCATCTGCTTCTGTGCTTTCTGCTGAAACCTTGGAGAGAAGCACCCGCTGCAATGTTTCAGAACTGTTAACTGTGTGTCAAACGTCGGAATTTACAACAAAACCAGGCTACAGGCTACAGTACCCAATACGAATTTCACATGTGTAGGCAACCTTGGTGGGAATGAAGGAAAATCGCGGTCCGCTTATCGCAACTAAGCATCTGTGACGTCTTGACGTTGCACGGCGGGTCGCCCTCGTAGCCATTGGCTTTCCAACAGGCATCGCACCCATCAGCATACTCCTCAGACAGCACAAATGAGCCCCAAGCTGTTGTCCTGGCACACTCCATGAGTCTCCGTGCAGCTCGGAGACACCGCCAGAAAGCAGGAGGGTGGTGATCACGCCACCACCTTGAAAGCTTCTGACCGTGGTTTTAGAGCCAAGCACTTTGTTGGCTCGAGAACACCAAGGGTCAAACAATCGCCGCAGATCTGCTTCTTCTGCCCGGTAGAACCTCTTCTGCCTCCCGTCGCCTCTGAATGGTCAGCGCTACGAAACCTGCGGTGCCTTGAGGAAGCCAACCCTGGGGCCTTGATGAGCGCCGCTAAAGCCTTCTCGTCGAGCTGGTCATCGTCCCCAGCTGCTGCCACCGGGGCTTCGGCCATCTGGCCAGCCGGGCCGCAGCATGCGAGTTGCTCGAACGAGTATGTCGAAAGGTGGTCAAATATCTGAACGCTGCTACAACCAAGCTGCCTGTAAGCTCTGATGCTTGCATGGTTCTAACTCTACTGGCTCAGGCGGCAAAGCATCGAAGGTAGCATCAACAGTCACGAGACAGTTCTCGCTGCACATGGCAAAAACATCCGGGGCACGGGGTGCGAGCGCCCTGGCTGCCTGGGAAGTTTTCGGCACGAGGCTTTGAACTTTGCCGGAAAACAGGCCCCTGCCAAGCCACAGTGTTGGTGCGCCCGGGACGGAAATTGGACGCTTCTCCTGAAGCTGCGTGACAGAACAGGTCAAGTGGGTTTATTCCACCACCCACACGCGACCCAGCAGGATTTCCCACTTCATGCAACCACAAGACTATCCTCTTTCAAAATGTCTTTATCCAAGCTTCTAGATCCCAACATCCAGTACAACCTATAGAGGTGCTATGACTCACAATAGGCAGGCCGCGCTTAAAGAATTTGAGCGGAATTAAGTGCAGCAGCTCCTACGACACGCACAAAGGAACATCTTGGGACGCTTCCTTGGGCAAAAGTTTCCACAACTGCTTTGTAATTTGAAGAACAACCCCCAGTTTCACAACCGCGCCCTGCTTACAGCTTTAAGGTCCGCGACATGCCCCACCACGAACAATCCGAGCTGCCAAACGAATATTCAACTTCCAGCTAGCACGATGCAAACGGCCGCATCTTGTGATACTTCCATGTTGAATAGTGGCTCAAACTGACACCGGTGGAAAAATTGACACCAATAGAAAAGTCAACTGAACTTCTGCCACTTAAAAGGGTGGTCGCGCAACTAGCTACTACTGGTCAGGCTGAAAAGAAGACAAGGTTAGCGAGTGATACGGCTGAAAACATGGATTTCACATTGCTAAGAACGTCTTCCACTGCGTACCTTGCCTTTGCAATAGCCAGCTATGCCGTCAAGAGGCAACAACCGACAAGCAGGATGACAAAGAAGTTGAACAAGTGGACGATGCGATGCAAGAACAGACGTGAACGAAAGTGGAAATGATGTGATTGGGCTGAAGATTAAACAGTTTAAGACTCCTGGACGAAGAAACACTGGAAAGATCAAGTTCATACCATCCAAGAATGTCACAGCCTGACAGACCAAAGAATAAGCCCCATGCCCCCTGCACAGTGAAAATCTACAGATTCATATTATGCCCACCAGAAGAGTATGGAAATGAGATTGAAGCATTAATAGTTTCGCAAAGTTGGCAAGTCTTAGGGAGATGTGTATACAAGGCTGTGAATAATTCCAGTATTAGTAGGCAGGTGATTAGCTGACTTTGGGCCAGACGGTGAACCAGATGCTAATATCACGTGAAGGAGTGTTCGATGTGAAGAAGTGAAAACATGCACTGGCTAACGTTCATGTTATATTGTAAACTCATGCTGATTTTCTCGGGAGCAGCTCGAAGATTGCTCGTTAGAGCTGGGCTGCAGCTCGTAAACTCGTTAGCTGCTGGGCTGCAGCTCGTAAGCTCGTTAGCTGCTGGGCTGCAGCTCTTAAGCTGGGCTGCAGCTCGTAAACTCGTTAGCTGCTGGGCTGCAGCTCTTAAGTCGCTCGTTAGCTGCTGGGCTGCAGCTCGTAAACTCGTTAGCTGCTGGGCTGCAGCTCGTAAGCTCGTTAGCTGCTGGGCTGCAGCTCTTAAGTCGCTCGTTAGCTGCTGGGCTGCAGTTCGTAAGTAACTCGTCAGCTGCTGGGCTGCAGTTCGTAAGTAGCTCGTCAGCTGCTGGGCTG